CTTGTCTAGCGAATATGAGCCGTTTTTTGGACAATCTTTGCGACCACGTTGTTTGTTTTTATTTAGCCGCATATCAACACCTCTATGGGTTATTTAATGCCGAATTCTAGATATTTTGTACGCAATTCTTTTAATTTTATTTTTCGGAGATAATAATCATTTAGTGATATAAGTCTTGCTAATTAACCCATAGCTGAGGGAGAAGAGGTAAATTTATACCTTTCTCAGGGGTATTCGTGCGTAAGTGAATATAACGACCCCGAGTGGAACTGGAATTTGGCTCTCCGATTTCCACTTATGAAATGTTTACCCCACCTCACATTCAAGCTTACAGCACCTAATATTCTCAAGCGGTCACCTATCTAGATACTAAGCAGCCTTAACTTTGCTTAACTTCGGTAAACCTCCATGTGTCTAAAAATTCTTGATAAAATGTCAAGAAGAATCCGCATCCCAACTTCATTTCCCCACCGCCGTAGCACATCTTCCCTGTGCACTTTCTTTAAATAATTTCATTTTTCTGTTATACGGAATGAGAAATCCAAGATCCGAGTTCTAATTCCTGTTGGGTTCGTTATTTTCACTTGCGAGCAATTACCCTTGGGAAATATATGAATCCATCTGTTCTCCACCCAGTATGGGTTAAATAGCAGGAGAAACTGGATTCTATAGGCTTGTTTGGCAACCAGTCTACCACAGAAAGAAACAGCAACTTACTGCGGGAAAACCTTCTGCCTAGTCAGTCATAAATCAAGAGAGACACGATCAACCAATCGTGTATCACGTATGGTACTTAACGATTAGCTTTCCTCTTTGGTAGCTCAAAATCATGAATTTAAGCGCAGTACTAGACTGGCAGCTAGGTCTCATCATTTTACCGTTGAAACTATTAAATGTAATTAAATTTATCTTGCACATTTTGCCTGTGGAACACTGGTTTCTTGCTTAACGATCTTCAAAGATTTAAATATAATGTCAATTGTTATCTTCTGTCTCTTTAATTCATGTTCCTTTATTGCCCTTCCTTCTTAATAATGTTTTTATTGTTCCCCCTTCGTAATAATGTTTTTTGTCCTCCCTTCTAAATGTTTTTATTGTCCTTCTTCTTAATAATGTGTTTTTTTATTGTCCCACCTTCTTAATATTTTTTTTGCCCTCCCTTCTTGTCTTCCCTTCTTAATAACTTTCTTTATTGTCTTACCTTCTTAATAATGTGTTTTTATTGTCACACCTTCTTAATATTTTTATTAACCTACCTTCTTATTTTTTTATTTTCCTTTCTTCTTAATAATGTTTTTATTGTCTTTACTTCTTATTAATGTTTTTTGTCCTCATTTCTTAATAATGTTTCTTATTGTCCCCCCCCTTCTTAATAATGATTTTTATTGTCCTCTCTTAATAATTTTATATTGCCTTCCATCCTTAATAATATTTTCTATTGTCTACTGTATTTTTATTGACCCCCTTCTTAATAATATTTTATTGTTCTTTCTTCTTAATAATGTTTTTTTATTGTCTTCCCTTCTTAATAATTCTTTCTCTTAGATTCTTTTACACTCAGCATCCCTTGTGTCTTAATGGCATGAAACTTCGCCGTATAGGATTTTTGCCGTAAGAAAATTTCGCCACAAAACAATTTCGCCGCATTTTTTTTGTATATTTCAATATTTAGGTATTTATAGAGAATTTAAAACAGTTTATGTTTGCAAATAATTTGTGTAAATTTCAAAAGACTTACTGGGAGTTTGAAAGGGTTATTTTTCTTTGATCAGATATTTTATATTCACTTGGTTGCGTATTCATGTTGTAAATTTGTTTGAAATAATATATATTGCTTGAATGAGAATTATTGGCAGAGTGATATCATGTTAACAGAAGGTTTAACGTTAAGCATCAAATATGAAATTGCGTGACGTATGTTCTGGTCTCAACTTGAAATTTTTTTTTTGAGCTCCTCACTGACGCGGATGAATGATGTAGGATTTTGATCCTATAACTACGCCTATTAAAATGTTTAAATCGAAGTAACAATAGTGTGAGCCAGATATACTTGATAACAAGCTACTGTGCATATTTAAAAAAAAAAAATGGCCGAAATTATCGTACGGCAAAAATCCGATACGGCAAAATTTCCTACGGCGAAAATTCCTCAGGAAAGTTATCCTACGGCAAAATTGTTTTCGGCGAATGCTCATAGAAACAAAATAAAGATATGACCATACAGTTAACTTTCCACACTACAAAAAATCAAAGAATTGGAAGGAAAATCCTGTCAATATTAGAAAAACTGCGAACATCATTCGAAAACGAAATTCTTATCAAGATTAGATAAATCTAGCCACATTTCTTGATAAACTCGATGCATTAATTAACCTCGTCAGGTTTAAACTTCAAAATGAATGTCATACATGGCATCCAATTCATAAAGAGGCGTCTAAACTGCCAAAAGAATTCAACGGTTTCCCAGAACAATGGTTAGAATTGGATTGAAACGAATAAATACTATAAATCAAAAAGCCGATCATTCACCAGAATCTATAGACTGTGCTTCAAAATAAAAATAAAAAAACAAAGAGCTCTCTCAAATAAAAAACCCACATCGTTTGAACACTTCCAACCGCAGCAATCATATAGCCTCAAGCAAGACGATAATGCCACTAAAACGCAAGGTTATATTGAGAGTGAAAAAGAATGAGAAGACTTTAGTGAGGAGAAAAGACAATAAAATAACATGATTCAGGAAGACATAAGATTGCGATTAACGTTGTATTTCAACTTTTGAAGATTGTAGGTGCCAGGGAAGCAGGAATCAGGAAAATATTTCTACGGACGAGAAAGAAACTATTAGAGCAGAACTTAAGGTTGCATCTCGCCAATTAAACAGTGATGCGACGTATTTGCCAATCTACTAATACGTTTAAATTCATGCGGA